CTGAGAGGACAGACAGAAATGTGACAAAGCGTTAGTCACCACTGGGACTTGTCATTAGCTGCAGTCTGTGAAATAACTTAAATTTGCTGTAGAAATTCATGGTTCCTAGAAGGTGAATGTTAATGTTTTGGTACCTTTCAGCTATTGCTGTAGACCCTTTTCACAGCAGCCATTTCGACTTGTCATTGCAGGGTAAACACGGGTGTAATTAATAACATTGATTATGGCCCTGTTCCATTTAGGTGGGCCAGGGCCCTGGTGTTGAGCAATTTAGCTCACTGGAATGACTGTGACACTGTAAATAGAATGGGACATCAGTACATGCGTGTACTCTTTACTGTGACATGCTGCTGTGAAAAGCTGTTCTTCCTTCCGACCAAATGTTTTCTCTTATAGACGTTTAATAACAATGTCACGTCCCGTCTCCTAAGTTATGTTTTTCTTATTTTATCATCGATAAGTATTTCCTGTTTTGTATTGTGCTCTTCTTCTTCTTCTTTTAAGTTTTATGGCGGATGGCATCCAGTGAAAGGTACATTACTGCCACCTACTGGTCTGGAGTGTAGTCCAGAGTAACTATCCCCTTACAAAAGAAAAAAGGGAGTTGCATCAATTCGGTGACCTGAATTATTTGACTCAATCCTGTTTCTTTCACGTATTGAGTACATTTCCTGCCCCCAAGGTTAATGCATCTTTTAGGTTTAGTTCCTCAACTCCCAGCCTCCTCTTCAACCTGTCTCGCTCGAGTGTGAATTTCTGGCAATAACATATGATATGGTCTACAGATTCTGGTATCTGGCAGTGCTCACATAGTCCTGTTGGGTGTTTATTTATGAGTTGCATTGTTTTGTTCAGCCTTGTGTGTCCAACCCTCAGTCTGGTTAATGTGTTTTCTTCTGTGGTGCTTCTTCTGGATGTCCTCCCTTTGCCAACTTCTCTCTGAACAGCATAAAGATGTCTTCCTGTGTCTCCTACATCCCAACTGTGCTGCCATTCCTTCATAATGTTTCTTTTGATTATTGATTTAGCTTCTGCTTTGCTGAGTAACATGTCTGTCTTGTGCTGCCTTCCTAAAGCTTGTTTTGCTAATGTATCTGCTCTTTCGTTTCCTTTTACCCCTCTGTGTGCTGGTACCCACAGAAATGAGACTAAAATACCCATATTCTTAAGTCGGAACAGTGTTTCGTACATTTCATTAATTAAACCCTGCCTGCTATGGGATGTGAATGATTGTAATGAGGATAATGCTGAACTGGAATCTGAACAGACAACGACCTTTTCGATCCGAACCTCCTCTACTCACTGCAGTGCTGTTATAATGGCCAACGTCTCAACTGTATAAACAGATGATCCGATGTTCTCCTTTTAACTTCATATTGCAAGGTTGGTATGGTGACCGCAAAACCAGTTCTACCTGTATCAGGATCTTTAGACCCATCTGTGTATGCTGGAGTAAATGACTGGTATGTTGTCTGTAGTCTGTCCTCCACCACTCCAGCCATGTTATCAATGTCTTTAAATGCTTGGGTTTTGTCCTTAACATAATGATCAACTGACACTGAGGGAAATAGCCACGGTGGTGTAGTTGATGACGGTCCTGTAGGAGTGAATGTTATCTGATCCAACGACACATCTCTTGCTAATGTTCCACTGCTCCATGCAAAACATTCCTGTTTGGCCCTTTCTCTTTCCCAACATGGCAGAAGCACCTTAGTGGTTGGATGCTTATCTCCAGATTAGCCCAGTAGTTCATAGTTAAGCGCTTGCGTCTCAAATGCAGCAGCGTCTCACCCACCGCCTACTAAATACCCACTTACCAACTATATGTCCCTTTTCCTTACTCCTTTGTAATGATACTTTACAACTTATTGGGAAGTGATCACTACCCACTGATGTTTCATCTTCTATATCCCACTCACATACGTATATATACGTATATACGATAGTTAAATCTAGTGCAGACGTGTGCCCCGTGTGCACATCTCATCTAGTCCCTCTACCATCATTTAAACAAAACAAATTATGTTTGTCTAGTAACTCTTCTATTACTGTTGTATTGACTGGGAAAGGACTGTATAATTTTTACTGGTTCATTAAAAGTTGTGGCCACCAGGGGGCATCGATCAGAATGCACTCCAGACAAGATGTTCCTTTGAGAGGTTTATTGACAATAGTCAAACAAGCAATTGTGTGTGTGGTTCTGAAACAGACATACATGAAATAATAATTAGTAAAAAACTCTATACAACATTGGTTTCTAATTAGGACACACAGGGACAGAATACAGGCAGTGATAAACAGGTCTGGGACTCCTACAGTCACCACTTAGCAAACAAGGAACGAGCTACTAACTATCAGAATAGATTGTCGTGTAAATGACACAATATAACACTTATAACTACATTAGACTAACACCAAACTTTACGTCTACTTACTGGTTGTTTGCACGCACACAGTCTTGAAAGTCAAACTCTGAACAGCAACATAAACTCTAATCTATTTACAGACACGGCCGTCATTTCGCGCCGCCACTCTCGTTCAAGCCTTTTCACTAACTCAATGCCGTTAATATTAGTCCGCGAGCAGCTGACTGCCGTCTTCTTCCGCAAGGGGCGTAGTGCGGTTCCTGCTCGGCTGCTTCTCCGAAACCCGTCTGAGGTCGTCCTTCGTCACAGCCGCCCCCAAATTTGTCTCAACTAATTTGCAACTCTAAGAAGGACTAACCGGATCAGTGTCTGGGATGGTAGGCAGGGTGACAAGGTAGGTAGCGGTAGTCGGAAGGTAGCGTCGGATGAAATGTGTCCAAAACTGGTCAGCTAACACCTGACTGTGTCTCCAACGTCGGCGACTGAGGAGCTCTGACTCTGCATACACAGCCTGGGGTAGTGAGGGGTCAAGCCGCCCCATCAGAAGCAAATTGGGGGTGACTGGGTCAACATCTGCCACATCTGTTGACACGTAACCTAGTGGTTTGGAGTTTAAAATCCCTTCTGCATCAATCAGTACAGTTTGGGTCTGAATGGTGGCGTAGAGCGCAGCTTTCACTGATCTCACTTCTCTCTCCCAGACACCTCCAAAGTGTGGTGCACCTCGGGGGTTGAACTGAAACTTGATCTGGTGTTTAGCCAGCTGAGTGTGGGGTGCATGGTTTTGAATGCCTCATCTAGTTCTCTCTCTCCTCCTTTGAAATTAGTGCCCTGGTCAGAGCGAAGCTCTGCTGGTTTGCCTCTTCGTGCAATAAAGCGGCGGAGAGCCATCAAAAAGGAGTCGGTGTCCATGCTAGACAAAACATCTATGTGTACGGCCCGTGTTGTCAGACACTTAAACAGTATGCCCCATCTCTTCTCGTGGCAACGGCCAACCTTCACTGTGAAGGGCCCAAAACAGTCTGTGCCTGTGGAGTAAAATGGGGGCTTCAGCAGCCTCAGTCTGGACTGAGGGAGGTCTGCCATCTTGGGCACCACTGGAGTGGCTCTCCACCTCTGGCAGTCCGGGCAGGAGTACTGATGGCGTTTCACAGCTTCACGGCCATGCAGAATCCAATATTTGCGGCGAAGCTCTGCAAAGAGGCGCTCTGATCCTGGATGATGGAGGCCCTTGTCTAAGTCCTGACTGATGAGCTGGGTCACTTTATGCCGAGAGTCCAGTACCACTGGGTGGATGGCATCTGGCTCTAGCTGGTTGCTGCGGCGGAGCCTTTCTCCAACGCGGATGAGACCCACAGTTTCATCATACTCCGGGGCTAGGGAGAGCAGCCTACTGGTGGCAGATACTGGCTTACCGGCACACAAGAGGTTGAACTCCTCAGGGAAACTGTCCTGCTGGGCTTGTCTCAAAACTTCTGCTTTCTGGTAATCTTCTGCAGGAAGACTGTCTTGGTCTACTGCCGCCCCATGGCGGGACTGTGCAAACGCCTCTGTCAGTGCTCTGAAGGAGGTGAACTGGTTGGCGTCTGGTAGCAGAGGATTATGAGCAGTCATGGTGAAGCGGCTGATGGTAGGTTTTCGCAGATCCCCTCTACAGATCCTTGGCTAAATATCTTGTAAACAAGTTTAGTAATAATGTTTGATGTCAATTCAAACCAGATTGCCTTTTTAGTTTAGAGGGTATGATTTAAATTTTTGTCATATTTATTCTTGTTATTATCTACCCAAGATGTTTCTCGTTGCCAGTGTTTTGGTACATTTTGTAAAAAGAAAATAAGTTGAATGAAATCTTAAGTAAAGAAGTAAAGATGTAAAAATGAAACACCAAAGTATGGTTTACATTATTTACTACCTTGTGATTTGCAAGTGCCTTCATCATTTCAAGTGTTTATTGTGAAAAAAGATGTTACCTCTCCTGAGGCTGGCTGTGTGGGACAGAATTCAGGTGGCTGCTGCAAGAAGTCAGGGCCCTGACTCCACCTACTTTTACCGGCCAGTTCCAACAGTGTCTTCCCTCGCGTGAGGTCATCAGCTGGGTTGTTGACAGAGTCCACGTACCTCCAGGCACGGACGTGCGTCAGCTCCTGGATCTCAGCCACTCTTGTTCCTACGAACACTTTGTATCTGCAGGAGTCTGACTGGAGCCAAGTGAGGACTGTTGAGGAATCTGTCCAGAAGACAACGTCGCGGATATTCACAGTCGGCTCTCTTTGCAGTAATGTGGCCAATTGGGCACCTGTCAGTGCAGCACAGAGCTCTAGTCTTGGCACTGATTGCTGTTTCTTTGGGGATACCCTGGATCTGGCAGTTAGGAAAGACACTTCCACACGGCCATGTGAGTTCTCTGCACGCATGTAGGCCACTGAGCCGTAGGCTCTCTCTGAAGCATCAGCAAAGATGTGCAGGTCTCGCTGGAGGTTTGAAGTGTCCATCTCAGGGCCCAGATAGCAGCGAGGCAGTGAAATCTGAGACAGATGCTGCAACTCCTCCTCCCATGTCAGCCATGGCTTCAGCACATCATCAGGCAGTGACAGGTCGTCCCAATCTCTTTGCTTTCCCCATAGTTGCTGCACA